GGAGGAAGGAGCAGGAGCGGGACTTGCCGATCCGGTGAGCATGTCGTACATCAGGGCTCCTAGGCTCCACCAATCCACCGCCCGGTTGTGCCCGCTCCTCACCAGGATCTCGGGGGCCCTGGCAGGAGCAGAGGGGTCCCTGAGCGCATGGGGGGCCACGGCAGACACCCCCCCCACGCCCCCCAAGTGCTGCATCCCCCTCACATGTACTCGATGGTGCCGCAGAAGGTGTGGGTGACGGCTCCATCGTGGATCGACTCCTTGCACAGCCCAAAATCCGTGAGCTTGATGTGCCCTGAGGGAGATGGGGGGGGGGTCAGCACCATCCCAGGAGAACAACCCAAGCCCCCTAGACCCACCCCCAAGCCCACCTTGGCTGTTGAGCATGATGTTCTCTGGCTTGAGATCCCGGTAGATGATCCCGTGGGAGTGCAGGTGGCCCAGAGCCAGCGTGATCTCGCTCAGGTAGAAACTGGGGCGGGATGGAGGGGGCTGAGAGCGGTGTTGGGGTGCCCACTCCCCTCTCCATGCCCACCACTACCACCCCCCCGTCCCTACCAGGCCGTGTCCTCCAGGAAGATTCCCTCCCGCTCCAGCTGCATGAAGAGCTCTCCACCTGCAAAGAGAGCCCGAGTTGGACTCCCTGAGCCACCCCTGGGACCCCCCAAGCCATCCCTGGAAACCCTTTAGCCATCCCTGGGACCCCCTGAGCCATCCCTGGAAACCCTTTAGCCACCCCTGAGACCCCCTGAGCCACCCCAGGAAACCCTTTAGCCATCCCCGGGACCCCCTGAGGAATACCTGGGACCTTCAAGGCCATCCTTGAGACCCTCCGAACAATCCCTGGGACCCCTGAGCCATCCCTTGGACCCCTTTAGCCACCTCTGGGATCCCATGAGCCATCCTGGGGAGTCCCTGAGCAACACCTGGACCTCCCCGAGCAATCCCCTGGGACCCCTCTGACCACCTCTGGACCCCCTTGAGCCACCCCTGGAACACCGTGAGCCACCCCTGGATCCCCTGAGCCAGCCCTGGGACTATCTGAGCCACCACTGTGACCCTGGGAACCATCCCTGAGACCCCCCTAAGCCATGCCTGGAATCCCCGAGCCCCCCATCCCCCCGTCCCCCCTCCCCTCACCGCTGAGGCACTCCAGGATGAGGTAGAGCTTGCCGCCCGTCTGGAAGGCGTAGATGAGGTCGACGATGAAGGGGTGCTTGACGGCCTCCAGGATGTTCCTCTCTGCCCGGGTGTGCGCCGTGTCCTTGGCGTTGCAGGCGATCTTGGCCTGGGGAGGGGGTGGGTGTGGAGTTTGGGGGGTCCCCAGGGGGGGTTGGGAGGGGGGGGGGGCAGGGGTAGCACTACCTTCTTCAGGACCTTCATGGCAAAGATCTTCCCCGTGTTGGTGCCCTGGACTTTGCGGACCTGGAACACCTGGAACGGCGGGAAGGGAAGGTTGGGGACGCTGTGGAGCAGCACTGGAGCCCCTGCCAGGACCCCCCCCGGCCCACTGTGCCCCCACCTTGCCGTAGCCACCCTTGCCCAGGACTCGGAGCAGCTCGAAGCAGTGGGGGCCGATGTGCTCGGGGCCGTTGTTGACGCTGCTCTCTGAGATCTCGATCTCTTCATAGTGTCCCACCGGCCTGGGGGGGAGAGGGGGTGAGCAGGGACGGACCCCCTGCCTGTCCCCTGCCTGTCCTCCCCCTCCCCTGCCTGCCCCCCCAACTTACTCCAGGCCGTTCCCCCGGGGCTCCAGCTCCATCTCCTGTGGGAGGGGACCCACAGTCAGCGGAGGGCACGGGGGGGCACGGTGGGCAGGGGGGTAGCGGCAGGGAGGGGACACACAGTGGGATGGCAGGGAGGCAGCAGAGCCATGGCAGGCAGGGGACACAGGGTGGGATGGCAGGCAGGTAAAGAACCCACGGCAGCAGGCAGGGGACCCACGGCAGCAGGGAGGGGACACATGGCAGCAGGGAGGGGACACATGGCAGGGAGGGGACACACGGCAGGGAGGGAACCCAGGACAGCAGGGAGGGGACACATGGCAGGGAGGGGACCCACAACAGCAGGGAGGGGACCCACGGCAGGGAGGGGCCACATGGCAGGCTGAGGACCCAGGACAGGAAGGGGACCCATAGCAGGCGCGACACGGGCAGGACACGGGCAGCGCGGGGCGAGGCAGCGCCGAGCCGGCCCTGCCGGATGTTTTGGGGCCGAGGCCGGGCCCTGCCCAGCGGGAGCCGCCCGCTGCCCGGCCGGGACCCGCGGCTGCCCCCGGTGCCGCAGGGACAGCGCGGCGACAGCCCCTGCCCCGCCACCGGCGGGACCCCCGTCCCTGTCGCTGTCGCCGCCGCCGTCCCGCAGCCCCCCCGCCCGCCCCGCCGGGCTCCGAGTGCGCCCCGCGTGTCCCGGTGCCCGCGCTCCCGCTGCCCCCGCCGCGTCCCCGCTCCGCGCCCCGTCCCGATCCCGGTGCCCCGCGTCCCCGCGGCGCCGCCCCCCGCCCCCGCCGGCGCTGGGGGTCCCGATCCTGGTGTGTCCCCCCCGCATCCTCCCCCCCCCCCGCGCCCCGGGGTGGGCTCACGGCGCCCAGCTCGGGCTCGTCCCCGTCGCTGCCCTCCTCGGTCTCCAGGTCGATGTCGAACACCCCCGCCATGACGGCGCCGCGCGGGGACCCCCGGGGACCCGCCCCCACGGACCCGCCCCACGGACCCGCCCCCACGGACACGCCCCGCCGCGTCACCGGGGCGTGCCCCGGTGTCCCCGGTAAGGGGGGGGCACGGGGACGGCGGGTCCCCGGGGGTGGCGCAGGGACAAGGACAAGGACAGAGCCGCTCACAGCCTTTACTGGGGGTCGCCCCGGCCCCGCCCGCGCTGCGCCGCCGTGACGTCAGCGGGGCCGCCGTGACGTCAGAGGAGGGGGTTAGGAAGGGATGGGGGAAGCCCCTCCCGGCCCCCCCCCTCCCCGCCACGAGTGGGCCTGGGGGGCACTGGTGGTGTTGTAGGGTCGTGGGGGCTGTGAGGGCTGGGTGTTATTGTAGGGTCTCTGGTGTTATTGTAGGGTTGTGGGGGCCGTGGGGGCTGAGTGTTATTGTAGGGTCTCTCGA